TGAGAATAAATGACTCTAATGGTCTTTCTAGTCCTTGGATCTATATTTTGGGTTTTTTTCAGTCTCACAGTGAGGCAAAGTTATGTATTAATGACAGATGGGATGTTGGAGAAAGAATTATGGGTTCCATCCCTTGTTTTTCCACTGACTTGTGTACATTGATCCACATATCTCAGTAAGCTTTTCTGTAAAACATTTACATTTTAAATAGTAAATGTTACTATGCTTGCCCACCTCACCAAGGCAAAAGGCAGTAAGAGTTTCTAACATCCTTTTACCTCTTTGAATGAAATTCTTTCTACAGCTATTGGGCCAGGTTTTCAAAGCCACCAAGCATTGAAAGTCAAAAGAGATGTAAGCTTTCAATGTCTCTGAAAATCAGATGCCGAAATTATTATAATCAAATTTTCAAGGCATTAATACAAACACTACTGAGGAGGAATAATAAATGAGGATTATGAGCTATATTTTGACAGCGTTCTTTTTAATCGTTGTGAAGGAGGCTTTTCTGCCTTCCTCCCTTGTAGCCTACTAACAGCCAAACAAACAAAAAGCTTCAGTTTATCTGAAAGGATGTTCCATTAAAAAAACCTCTTGTTTGACATATTAAGTAGGTGAGTCAAAAAAATTAAACTTTGTTACAGCAAAGCAAGAGTGATTAAATTAAATGCACCTCAAGAAGAAAGCACTTCCCTGGATCAACAGGGCAATAAGAGCTTGTCGATCCTCATCCTGGTGCGTTTCTAAACACTTTTTGAAGCATAAAAGGCAGAACACTCAACACTTTGGCTTTGTCACAGCTGACAGCCTGTCAGTTTTAATGAAAATGCTCTCTGTTTAGAAGATGACAGAAATTACATGCATTTCCTCTTTTATTTTTCTGTCATCTTTTCTGTCTTGCGTTTTTACAGTAGAAGGAGGGGTTGGTTATTAAAGTATTACATAAGTATGCAAAATATGTTAAGAAGAAGAGAGAAAAGGAAAAGCTTTAGCCCTGCAATTATACGTAATGTGTGTTGGTGAGAAATGTATACTCTGAGATAACATCTGATGCGTGGCAGTAACTATTTACTTTTAGTTAGCTTTAAAGAGGGTGAGGCAAAAGTCTCTAGATAATGCATTAAGTGAAGGTTTTAATATACAATTGCCTGAGTAATTTCCAACAGGAAGATGATCTAAGCCATATTAGATAGCTTAAGTATGTTCATAACTTCACTAGAAAATATGGCAAGATAACACTGAATGATTTCTTGGCTTTGCACAGCTTTCACAAACCTCTTTTATTAAGTGGCAGACTTTTAATAAGTGTACCCACTCTCATTGACCCAGATGTGTAACTGCATCTGAAGCAACTCACTTCCAAGACTGAGGAGGGAAAGCTTCACTTGCAAGTATATGTCAGTACTATGGGATCTGGAAATAGCCCACAAATCTGTACATATTTTTTCAACCTGGCAGTAGCCACTCTGGATGTTTCCCCAGTGTCGATTCTGGCACAAGTATCAGCGGTAATAACATGTACAAGATAGAAATTCTGAGGAAGTGAGCTTTCGTCAGTTTTAAGGGAAGCTCTGAATTTGATCTTCTAACTTAATTTCTGTGACAGTTACCTGTGCTTACCCTAAGAAGAGAGACAAATTTAATTATTAATGATGGCCTGTATAGACCATATCTAAAACTTGCGCAGAGGATCTCAAAATAGTGAGAGCTTTAGAAAAGCATAAAGAAAGGAATTAAATTTTGAATTTTGGACACATTTGTATAGTCTTAAACTTGCGCATACTAGTAGTCTCCAACAGCGTGACTCTTTGTAGAAATGGCATTATGTATATTTAGCAAAGGTGAAACTGGATCCCAGAAAAAGAAAGCCGTTGTACAAGAAACACATTTCTGCCTCTCAGCTGTTTAGGTTCCACTTGCTTGACACAAATGCACAGCATGTGCAGATTTACTGGAGGGATCAAAATGGTCACAACCATCCCATTAGCACCTTTTTATGTGTTCCTGGTCCTGTGATGTGATAGCGGCTAAGCAGCCTCTCCACTGACATCTCTCCCAGCACAATTTGGTAAAGGAGTTGCATCTCAATTTGAAAAGTCTGATCTAAGTCTTGATCAGGCTGCAGAGGACATGGTATACGCTGCACGGTACACGCAGCGCTAGTTCAGCAGCCTGGGAGTGGCATTGCTGTGGGGAAGCACACGTCTGAACTGGCTGTGCTGTCTGAAATACAGAGCGGGTTAATGCTCACACAGCTGGAAACAAAAGCAAGAAGAGGTTGCCTTTGCTGCATACCCATCATTAACCCCAGGGAAAGTCCTTAAATGTGATTCCCATCTCCTGAAGCTGTCATTTTATCCTGCTTACAGACTAAGGGAGACAACTGTGCTTTAATTACCTGTAGTCCTTATAACATATTTCTTGGCAAAGGTCGATTTGCTTTATGAATATTTCAGTAGTGCAGAATCTGCATGTGACGCAGGAGTCAAATATCCCATCATTTTCGCATCAAAATTCCAAATATCCTTCTAACTCAGAATTAGAGGTAAAGATAAGCGTTGTTAAAGGGTACAGATTTTGAGTATCTACATGATGAGGAGATAGGGTGGAATGGGACAAGTGTTTATGTCGGAGTAATTGGGGACTCCGAAAGGAAAAGGAAGAAATGCTCAACAGAGGACATCGCACAACGTGTAGGAGTTATAGCATAAGAATCAACCGAAAAAAAAACCAGTATTGTCTGACCAGCAGGAAGTATTTCTTGTTTGTGAATCAATATGAACCTGCCTGCCTAAGAGGTGGTAGGATCCCTCTGGCCACGGCTTTGGAGCTGGGCCATATGACTGACAGCAGGTAAAGAACAATCCTGTGGTTGTTAATGGGGTTCACTGAATGATTGCCTTTGCACTTGCAGACTGTGCTCCTGGCTCCTAGTGAGCAGCTGTTAGCTGTCTGGTATTTATGGAAAACCTCATTAGCATGTTTGGTCAAGCCAAGCTATTTTGTGACTTAGCAAATAAAAAACTTATCAGTAATTGACAAGCTAGGTAAAGCATATTTCATTGATTAGACTTATTAACTGTCTATATAATTTCCTCCAAAGATTACAACTAATGTATTAAAATAGAAGATGCAAGATAGCTTTGCCTTTTTCATGTAACGTTTTCAATGCCGTATTTCAGACACCTGGCTGTGAAACTAAAATACTGCCTATTCAGGTGCTTTTCCTACTACACTCAACAGTACATTTGTTTATAAGTAATTTGTGTTGAAACACAAGCCTTCAGTATGCAGAAGCACTTAAATGATTCTATGATTCTATGAAATTTTCGGAGGCATATGAAGTCAATATGGCTTCTGTATAAGAAGAAACCTCCCTAGCTTGTAAAACCCCCCTAGGCTGGAATATGGTGTTGCTCATGGCTGAGGAAAGTGCTCTTGCCATCCAGTCCTCCCTCCTTCTTCACACCTTCCCTGGCCCAGATCTCCTTCAGTAGCAGGCAAGTAGCTCAACATCTCATATGCCTCCATTCTGGGGATTTATGTTGGTAATATACTTCTTAACAATGATACATGTCATTTGGGTAAACAAGGTGCTTCAGAAGGGTAAGTGCAGTGTGGTTTATGCTCTTCCAAAGTTGTGACCTAACTGCTTCCATGCTGTGCCTTGACTTTCAGGAGAACAGAGTCAGCCAAGACAAGTCACCAGTGTGGTTATTCTATAATTCAGTGCGCATACAAGAATGAGAGAGGTTGGCTGATGTTGTTTTATTCAATATTCTCTGCTTTAAGGGTCATCCTGTCCTGTGACATTAAATGGTTGTTAATTTTTCCCCCCGCTTTTTTTTAGATTGTGTTTTAAAGGAAATTGCCCTCTGTAACGATAGCATTTTCTTTCTGTCTTTTCTCTGCTGGATTGCTTTCCCACTGATGCATTTGTGAGCAAGCACCCTGACTACACTTAATTATTAAAAAGTCATTGCTCAAACAGAGCTGTAAAGAAAAGGAAATATTTCTTACTGCATATTACTGAATATTAGTTCACAATGGATTTCATCTTTGCATATTCTCTCCCCTAATTTGTGAGCCAGGTATATTTTATAACACATAGGTTCAAGTATTGTACAAGCTACCAGCTACTGGAGAAAAAAATAGCAGACAAAAAAATAAAAGATATTAACATTTTCTCCAGTGCAAAAGTTTTAGAAAAGCATACCTAGCTTAGACTGTAGTATTTTTTAAATGGAAAGAATGGCCAGAATGAGGCTCAAGTTTGCAGTGCATTCTAACCACATTACTTCCATTTATTGTAATATGGTAAAAGCTTTAGAGTAAACATATGCCATGTAGGTGTTAGCTTTTTTGTGTCCTTGCTTTTAGAACATGCATTTACAACAGAACAGAGGCATCTGTGCAGGTGTCAAATGATCAAAACTGCACATGTGTATATATGTACCATGACGTTTTCCGCATATTCTGCAGTTAAAAAATATGTATTTGAAGAGAATTTCAACTACATTATTTTCAATTTAAATGAACACTAGGAGAAATGCTGACCATGAACATATGAGTCTTGTTCAGTTTTAGGGGGCAGTCACTTTGCTGGACTTAATTTTTCTTCATGAAATAAACCTTTCTGTGCAGAATTGAAAAAAAAAAAAAAAAGAATCTTTGGATATTGATTATGCATGCCATTCCAAACTGTCTAACATGTGCAGCTCTGCTAGTGAATTGCCACCATATCACTCTACAGTATTGAATTAAACTGGATTAAATTCTGCATTTGTTCTTTACCCTGTATTTTATTTCAGATGCCTCTTGGATATTGTTTGTTTATTATGATATGACACATTTCTTTCCTTCATTCCTCACGTTTTGCTTACAGCTCTCTACCTCTTTTATAAGAAGTGCACATGAATTAATATCTTTATATGCATTTGCAGCAAGTACTTAGTAAACTTATAATGGCAGCTTCTAGACTGTGGCAAAAATACTTTCAGGACCCTCCAGCCTGTGTCATCCATCTGCCGGTGTGAGCAAGCAGAACACAGGAACAACCTGCAGATATTTTAAACACTGCAAATTCTTGTGTCTTTCAGGACCTAGATTTCTCATCACATCCACGGGAGCCTTGTATATTTTAGACGTACAGAATGAAGATGGACTGTACAACTACCGATGTATCACAAGGCACAGATACACTGGAGAAACACGACAAAGCAACAGTGCAAGACTTTTTGTATCAGGTGCTCCTTTATATATCATGTTAAATTAAATATTGTATATGCCTCTCTAGTGTATTGAACTGACAAGGCAGATTCTTGTGCCTGTATGCACTAACAACCAAGTTGTCTATCAAATGGAAGGTAGAAGTGGTCAGCTGTGAGCTGCTGCTGCAAGATAAAATGTCTCATTTTAAAATCCTTTTTCATTTTTTCACCTCCTATTAGGTATTTCCAGAGAACCTGTAGAGTGCATTGGCATTTAGTACAGTGATTTTTTTGTAGGTTTAGAGTACTTTATAATAAAGGACTATGGATGGGATTCATCCCATCAAAAGTAGACTTGCGCAGTGAAAGTGTCCAGTCACCTTAACTTCCCTTTGTAACTAAAGGAGAGGAACACTTTTAAGGGTAGTGTAGACAAAGCTGTCTCTTTAGGGTGAGATGAATTGTCCCATGATGCCTATTTCTCTCTGTTAACCATAGCAGAAGCTCAGGACATTTAGCTCAGCTGTAGATATTTCCTCTGCAGGAGTCTCAGGTTAGCTGAGGTGCATTTCAGCCTTCCTTTCATTCATCACATTCCTTCCCTGGGGAACACAGTGTGTTCCACTGTTTCCAGGAGGGATCTCCAGCCAGAAGGGGTACATGACCTGTCCTAGGCCACCCAGGGTGCTGCGGGTAGACAAGAGGGTTAGCTCTGCTCCTTTGCCAGAGCAAAGAGTCACAGGGCAATAGCCTTGTGCAGCAGGTGGGTAAATGGAGTATTTTAACTTTACCTCATAATTGTAAATCATCTCCTGATTGTTGTGTGTGTGATGGACTGTTGGGTTCCCCACAGACACACACCGCACACTTAGGGCTGTCAGTACAGTGCTACTTCAATCCTGCTTTCTCCCCATTTTGTCTCAGTGAGAGGAAGTGCCAGTTGTGGGTGAGGTGAGAAGGAAGAGCAGATCCCAGGCCTTAATTTGGAACTTGCTATCAAGCATCTCTGTATAGGTTTAGCTCTTCCCCATCTCTAATTCCTCTGCCTCTTTTTCTGGTTGCCTGTAACTGCAACCTGTGTTTGCACGTAAGCAAATCTGTAATTGTATTCCCATATCCATAGAGTTAGGTAAGACTGTGTCCCAGACTCTCTCTCCCTGTATCCTTGCCTTACAGAAGACATGCCCATCATCCCTCTGAAAGCCCTACAGAGCTTTTTTTCCTTTTCACTGTTGCTAAGTTGCCCTGAAGATCCTAACTGTAAAAATCAATCAGGGTATGGTGACCTTCACAATCTAACAGTCAGTAGGGTCATTCTCCTTTTGACCTTGTCCTCTTGTCTTCTGGTCTTTTTATCAGAAAAAAAAAATCTAGCAATTAAATCTCAGCTCTCCACCCTCTGTTTAAGAGCCCCAAGGGAGACAGAGGTGGGCACAAGGATTTGCATTAGTAACGTACTTCCTGCCCTCCTCCAAAATGGTCTTTGTTGGAGGATTCTGGAGCCCTCTAAACACACAAGTTAGTACTTAGATATACTAGTGATAAAGAAATAGTGTGATTGTTCAAGTTAGAATCACTTACCAGTCAGATCCGGGAGTTTCTTCCTTTGATACATGTCCCCTGTGGGTAAAAGTCTTGCCTCTGCTTTTCCCAGCAAGATGAAGAAGTAGTTTTCCTGCACAATAATCTTTCTGCTTTTGTCTTGTAAGGATAGGTAGGGTCCTATCCTTCTAGCTGCCTCCATAATATGGTCTGCTTCCGTATGAAATCATGCTAAGGCTGAGCCAGTGGTAACATAAATAAAATCAGGCTTGTATCTTGGTTACCACAGGAAAATTTCTAGTTATTTCACTGAACAAAAGGGGGAAAATGAAAGCTTTGTCTTGTTTGTCATTCAGGTCAAGTACCCTAAAAGATGTGCTCTGTCTGGAGTTCCCTTTTCTGTTCTTCTCAGACCGAATCAAAATAGGAAATTCTACCTGTGTGCAATAGCTGGCTTTTTTAATTCAATGGGGTTAATTATTCTCTATTAGAGCTATAGTGGGCTCTGATTTCCAGTCCTGTTAGTCTACTGAACAAGTGCAACAATTATAGGCAGTTTGTCTCTTAATATTTCTCTAAAACCTTTTATTTTTTCTTTACAATGGTTTATATTTTGAAATAGTTAGTCCTTTAAGAACTGAGATCAGAGAATCCATTAGCATAGTTGTAAAAGGTCTGCTTGCATGAAACCTACATTTTTGCCTACTTTTTACATGCATAAATACTCTGCTTATTTGAGGATGAGCTATTTTGTGGTGAATATTGATTATAGTCTCTTGGCCACACTTTTAACATAATTTAAGCTTCATTATTGCTTGAAAGAGTGAGAAAGGTAATATGCATATAATAGCAAATACACATGAAAAATTAGTACGTCTATGACCAAACCAAATTTCCAAATTTCATTTGGAATAAGCGCATCTCCTTGAAATCCTGTGTCTTTTCTAAATAAAATTAAAACTAAGACCATTAACATGCTACAAAATATTCCTCTAATGCCAATTATAGTGTACTTTTTCAAAAATAATTTTGTCCAGCCATGAATCCCAGCTCCCAAAGTCTTTATTGTTTTTTAACACTCACTCTCCAAAAAATCCTTATTATTTTGAAAGTATAATGAGTTTCTTGCTCTGTCCTTCAAAGGAGATGCAAAGTAGAATATTTTTGAACAGTATTTTGCCTTAGTTTTTCCACTGTGGTTCTTGCTCAAAGTCATTTGCAGCTGACTGTTAAACCATAGTGAAATAATTACTCAAAAGAGTCCATATCACATATTGGAATCGAGATATGTTACTTTGCTCTTTACCTCATTGCAGGTGATTGCATATGAACTCTGAGATTTCTTTTGCGTGTGATTTCTTGCATGCTTACGTTTTTACAGAGTTAATTCCTCAGGCTGCACAATAGAAGCTGTGCACTGAAACGTAGATGACTGATGATACAAAAGGCGAGAAAGGAGCTGGCTAATCAATTAGTCAAGTTGACATTGGCCTTCCCAGTAGCATCCTGGCAGAGTGTGCTTTCACTAAGCCAGACATAAACAGCATGGCAGGCTCAAATATACAACCCGTCTTGATGCCAAATATGGACCCTGAGGCTACTGATGCATGCAAAATCGTTTGTTTAACTGTTGGCTAACACATTTCTAATGAGACAGTAAGCTGCTGTAAACTGAAAGGGGTTTTGCCTTCAGTGGCCGTCGTGGTTCAGCCCAACTGGCAGCTCAGCCACCACCATGCCGCTCGCTCACTCCTCCCTCGGTGAGGTGAAGAGGAGAGAAATGGAACAAAAGGCTGGAGGGTCGAGATGAGAACAGGGAGGGAGCACCCACCAACCATGGCCCTGTGCAAAACAGACTCGGCTTGGGGACAAATCAATGTCATTCATTATCAGTTACTTGAGAGGGTAACAAGAAACAAAGCCAGATCTTGAAAACACCTTCCCCCCACCCCTCCCTTCTTCCCAGCTCTGCATCCTCCCCGAGTGGCACGGGGTTATGAGGGGACAGTGGGAGTTGCAGGTCAGTTCGTCACACATTGTTTCTGCTGCTGTTTTCTTAAAGGAGGAGGACTCCTCACACTCTTCTCCCTTGCTCCAATGGATCCCCTCCTCACATTGAAATATAGTCCACAGACTTCTCCAATGTGAGTCCTTCTCGCAGGATGCAACCCTTACCCCTCAGATTGCTCTGGCGCAGGCTTCTTCCCCACAATGTCACAGCATCTTAGGGAGCTGCCACCCGCTCCGGCATGGGGTCCTCCACGGACCTCAGATACATCTCTGCTTTATCGTCAGTCTCCAGCAGCGTGGCGGGGTCCTTCCCTATCCATGGAGACCACTCTCTACGACTTCCCTTAGGCACAGGCGCTCTGCTCCAGTTCGGGGCTCTCTACAATCTGCAGGTGGGTTTCTGCTCCACCGTGTCTCTGACGGGCGGCAGGGAGGCCACCTGCCATCTCACCACGGGTTACAGGGGAATCTCAGCTCCAGCACCTCCTCCCGCTCCATCTTCACTGACCTTAGTGTCTGCGTAGTTTCTTCTCTCACATGTCAATCCTCTCTCTGCTGCAGCTGCACTGAGCCTGACCAGCCCTACGAACCTTGTCAGTCCCAACAGGATGAACTCTGCCCAATGGGTGCCCTGGGAGCGGATCGGCTCCATCCCCTGCCTTCCCTCTCCAGCGTAGGTCCAGCCCAGTTCAGGCTCCTTTGTCCTCTTCTTAAATAGGACATTCGCAGAGTCACTGTTTGGCTCAGCCCTGCCCACAGGGGAGAAGGGGGTCCAACCTGGCCAGAGACCAGCCCAGCTGCTTTTGGAGCCGGGAAAGCTTCTCGCAGCTTCTTACAGGGGCCATCTCTGCAGCCCCTCATCTGGTACCAAAATTCCATCATGTAAATCCAGCACAGTGGCTCAACTTTTTGCTAGCACCTAGAGTGCAGAAAAAAACCTCTGTGATAATCTTTCACTGAACTTGGCATTTAGGGTTTTATCTAGATATTCACACATTTTACTTAGCCCATTTGTTTACCATCACAATTTTAGTTTCTGGATTGATAGTATAACTTGTGTAGTGCCTCTAGCTATTTGCTCTCAAGTGTACCCTCCCAGCTGTGGCTGCAGTTTATGAAGATATATCTAAGCTAGTTTTAAACTAATTAACTGAGGTACTGATTACACTATCACTTGAGTAGCTTGAATTCAGCATGGACTGCTCCTTTAATCTCTTTATCTCCTAATAGGAACCTGCTGCAGCTACCCTGTGGGCAGTACCTGAGCTAGCTAAGTCGAAGACCACTTGAAAATGTCAAAGTGGTTGCAATCACACCTACACCCAGGCAATTATGATGTAGATACACCCAAGAAGAGGTGTGTGTCAGATAAAAGTAAAAGGAGCTGATCAGCATGTGAAGTTTCTTTGTGAGACAGAAGTCTTAGCAAAGTGAGATCATGTGATGAGAAAATACTTAGATGAATATTTATTGACTTACTGTTCAGTATTTATGTTGCAACAGCTCCAGGATGGGCTTCCATCCATCATGCTGCATACTGCACAAAACTGTAAAACACATCAGCCTCTTCCTCTAAAAGTTTTCAAACTTAAAAAGCTGAGATCACAAAGAGAGTACTATTTCTGTTGGAGTACATGCACCTCTGGCGAAGGTGCTCCGCCAGAATTCTGTGAGATACACAAATACATGCCAGATGCTACACAAGTATGTTGGTCTGAGAGCTACTTTTCTCAGTTAGTTGAGCACAGAAAGTTGAAGTATTAAGTTGTATGTTGGTCTTGTCACGTTAAGCTCTTTTTCCAGAGAAGAAGAAAAGGCTCATCTGTCAGTTAGACTGCAGATGGGAATCCCTGTGTCTTTGCCCATTTCTCTCCTGACAAGGAAATAAATTGCTTCTTTAATGCAAAGCCTTCAGACCACCAAGAAGCATGGGGAGAATATGTTGGCTGCATTCTAGTCAAGTAGTTCAGGGATAACAGTAATAATTTTTAAGGCAACACATTTCTGGCTCTTCATTCCTCTGATAGGGAGCATGAAGGATGACCAGAAAAATGGTTGCCACCTGGAAAAAATCCAGTGAGAGGATTTCCAAGTTGTCATGAGGTGCTTCAGTAGTACATGCTGCTGGATCCCAGCCACCACTACTGAGATATTACAAATTGATGACTGGGTCACAGTAGCAAACTGTAGTACGTAAAACACTGGGCTAGTGAGTCAAAAAAATGTAGGAGAATAAATACTGGCATATTGGTTAGTGAATTAAAGGATTTTAATGCTCCCATTGAAAACTGCTGTTTGTTCTTTCAGATCCAGCAAATTCAGCTCCATCTATTCTAGATGGGTTTGACCACCGTAAAGCCATGGCAGGACAGCGAGTGGAGCTGCCTTGCAAAGCATCAGGGCATCCCGCACCAAAGTATCGTTGGCTGAAGGACAACGTTCCCTGGGAGCCTGACAGCAGGTTTCGGCAGACAGTTACAGGTCTGCTGATTGAGAACACGCGTCCCTCGGACTCAGGCAACTACGTCTGCGAGGTGTGGAACAACTATGGGACTGCCGAGATGATAGGGCGACTGTATGTAAAACGTAAGTCCTGGACTGAGTGGAGCTCTCAGGCCACTTCTGACCTGGGCACTTGCATCAGATAAGATGTTGCTGTATCTTGCTGTACCTTCTGTTTTGTTGCTTTACCTTAGCAATGCTTAAACTTCTCAAAGTTGTGGAGCAACAAAAAGTAGGCTCTGTGGAGATGAGTTAGTTGGACAACTGAGCGATCAGAAGTGCAAATTGATGCAATTTATAATGTAGCTATATAATTTATTACATGGAGGATATGTAATTTAGAATCTTGAATTGGATGCTTAGAAAGAAATTGCAAATGTTCTCATGAATAAAGCTGCCAAACTCTCATTGCCTTGACTCATGCTGTTCGGTAATATTGAATACTCATACCTCCCCTCAGTTGAGTATTCATGTGTGAATATTCTGAATGTTTCACAAATTCTACAAAGATAATTATTACTCAGAAGCACTGCACTGGAAAATTGTTATTCTTCTATTGTTAGAAAAAAATATTTCCTGGAATAGAAATAATGCTTTGTGAACTAGCGTTTCCACCTATACAGCATGACTAGGAACCTGAAAAGAGAGAAGTTTGTGAACAGTTCAGGCTATAAAAATGTCTTCACAAATAATTACACGTAATGTATTTGGGCAAAATAAAACTGAGATCAAAGATCAGTAATTTGTGAATTATAATGGAGGAGCTTTGCCTCTAAATATATTCATAAAAATTAGTTGAATTCAGTCTATATGATACAAAGCCAAAACTTCCAGACACATGACGTAATGGTATCATCAGTGATACCGAAAGTATCCTCAGTGACTGATGATGGATTTTACTTCTTGACTCAGTGGTCAACCAGCCAGTAGATAGCTTCTGGATCAAGTTGACAGGATGCAAAATTTGGGCGAAGGAGTTTACCCTTGTCTGCAATGGAGGATGTGGTTCACTTTCTTGCATCATCATGGCTCTGAGATATTGGTGGTACACTTGGGTGTGTCTGGTTTGTTTAATGGGTCATTGACAGTTTTGAGCCTTTGTGAATTTTTGCATAGGAAACATAGAGATATGCAGTAACTCATAACATGCATGAACATGAACACAGATGAACTATTGCTCTGAACCACTGTAGAGGAAAGGCCTGTTCCATAAGAGTCTGTGATCCAGAATGACTGAGACCACTGACTTGTGTGGGTTTTTTCCAGGCCTTTGTTCCCAATGGGCCACTAAAGATTTATTCCAACCAAGAGGTGCATTATGAAATGTTCAGTAAAATGAATGAATTAACTGAGGAAATATTTATGTATTAAGCGTGTGTATACACGTCTATGTATGCATGTATGCAAGGTGGTAAAAAAATAAATAGGATGGTATGTATTTAGTATCGGAGATTATATCAGTGGTGATAGTAGTCTCTTATCTTTATAAGGAAGTCAAACCAATATACAAAAAGTGTAAGATGAAATCTGCATTCAGTAAAGTCAATAGCTGTTAGGTGGCAGGATAAAGATTGTTTTCCTTACACTTATGTTTATGACTTCTCTTCAGCACTGTTCATCTTCTTTTTTTACAATGTAAAACTTGCATTACCTATGTCCTACTGTTTCTTAAAGATGACTTGAAAATATTGTAGTCTTCCCATGTTGAAGCAGAAAATCTAGTGAGCCCACACACAGAAATGCTACGTGTGGATAAATCCCATGGATATCTATTGGTACACCTATGTGAATATTTTAGCATGGATCTTCCACTCTTAAAAGCTAATCTCCTGGTCATTGACATTTCCTGCACTTGTTCACATCAGGGAGTGGTTTTGGAACACATGAACTGGGTTCCTTATGCAGGAAATTAAACCAGAAGATGAGCTTCAGAAATGCCCCTAACGCAGCTGTTCAAAGATCCACACTAAACTAATGTGAAGTAGCATCCTACCCTCCCAAAACGTTTGTTGCACCATTGTTAGACCCTCAGCACCAATGGTGTTACTCAGTAAATCTTCTCCTACTGTTCATTTAGACACGGTTGAGAGTAATATATCATGTGTCAAACAGGTTATTCCTGTAGATCTATATTTGCTCTAAATATGCTTGTTTAGAGCAAAGACAGTCATCTGTTGGTTTTGTTGTTTGTTTTTTTTTTTTTTTGTAAAGACAGTCATCTGTTGGTTTTGTTGTTTGGTTTTTTTTTTTCAGAAGGTTATAGCTGTAATTTTTGGTTTTCTTCTTAATTGAGAGTTAATTTTTTACTCACATATAAATGCACATGTATACTTAATGTTCTCTATTTCCCTTTCCCTTATTTTGATTTAAATCTTCAGAACCACTAAAAGCCACGATCAGCCCACGGAAAGTAAAAAGCAGTGTTGGTAGTCAAGTGTCCTTGTCCTGTAGCGTGACGGGAACTGAGGACCAGGAGCTCTCCTGGTATCGTAATGGCGAAATCATCAACCCTGGTAACAATGTCCGGATCACTGGTGTCAATCGGGAGAACCTGATTATGGATGGCATGGCCAAGAGTGATGGTGGGGCTTATCAGTGCTTTGTGCGCAAGGACAAGATGTCTGCTCAAGATTATGTTCAGGTGGTACTAGAAGGTCAGTCACTACCTGTTTAGTGATTCTGGTCTCTGTAATACTACATGTGTTGTCTTCGATGCCATCATTATATAGTGAGGGATAGTGGATCCTAAACAAGAGAATACTTATGAACTGTCAGTAGGGTTTATTGTGCCTCACTGAGCAAAAGCTAATGGAATGAAAAAATTGATTTGGAAACAAAAATCCCTCCCGAGCAGTCCTTCCAGTCAATTTTTTTTTTTTTTTTTAATGGGGATGGATG